CTGGACATTTCATATAAATAGAGTCATACACATTTGTCCTGGGTTTTGTTGTTTTTGTTGTTGTTGTTTGTTTTGAGATAAGGTCTTGCTATGTAGCTCAGGCTGGCCTCAAACTCACAGCAATCCTCTGCCTCAACCTCCTGAGTGCTGGGATTACAGGCATGCGCCAACAGACTGGGCTCACATTTATCCTTCATGATTGGCTTCTTTCACTTAGCATAGTGTTTTCAAGGTTTACCTGTGTTATAGCTCATTTCTTTCTGCTGTAGAGTTGCGTACTCTATTATATGTCTACCTCATGTATCTATTGATCAGTTGAAGGACCTGTGGTTGGTTGATAGATCACTTTGGGCTGCACTTAATGCTACTATAGACATTCACCAGTTACTGTGCACTCACTTTTTTCCCCCTGCCATTGGGTTTTATCCTCTGAGTTAGTGTCCTGATGTCACCCTCTCCCTGCTTTTATTTGTACTGACTTCTCAGTAGTTTCTTTTCATTTGGCCTCCAGTATTCAGAAGTGGCTCACAATTTACTCTTTGCTATGAAGCTTTCTCGTCCCGTTTGACTCTTGGTGATGACACTGTTTGCACCACAGTGGTCTGTGGAGAACAATTCAGCCGGTCTGCAATCTTACATTGCCTTTTTTGTTTTTTGAAGAGAAATAATCTGACCTAAGTATAAATTAATTGACCTAAGGAGAGAATAATGTCTTGATATTCATGTCATCACCTGTCCTTGACTAAATTGAAAATATTTTTTCCTTAGCAGTTACTAGGAAAAAAATTAAGATTGGCCATGGTGGTGCATGCCTGTAATCTCAGCACTCAGGAGGCTGAGGCAAGAGGATCACCATTTGGGGCCAGCCTGGGCTACATAGTGAGTTCAAGGGCAGGCTGAACTACAAGCAAGACCCTGTCTAAAAAAAAATTAATTACTTTATGCTATAACCAATCATTTCTTTGAAAGATTGCCATAATGAGGTTTATATTATAAAGATATTTTAAGAAATATAAAATTGAAGCACTTTATCTAATAGAGGACAATTTTCTATCAAATGTTCATATTTTTCTCACCATAGAAAAGAAATGCCTTTCTTCATTATATAGCTATACCTGGGATTTATAGACCATGCATTTGACCAACTGAAAAGCTCTGTTATGTACCCACACCACACACCCTTCATTTGCTCATCAGGGTGCTTGCAAAAGCAGCTCAGCACTTACAGGAAACAAATTGATTTGGAAACCTTTATGCAGCAACAAGGTCCAGTAGCTTCAGCTCCATGGCTTTCGCGCCCTCTCGTGGTCACGTCACTTACGTAATACTCAATCCAGGAAGCACTCTCTGTGTGATCATTGCCCACTGAGTGGTGCTGAGAGAAAATAAACTGTAAGTTGTTACAGTAAAGTACCGTTGGCTACTTGAATTAATCAGTGGGTCTCATCGATTAACCAATGGGGTGTGTTTCGGGCCCCATGCGCTGCATTTATTGCTGCCTGCCTTGTGAATAATGGCTGTCAGGTAAAAGAGCTGAAAACCAAGACCAGACCAGGCCACAACAAGCCTTTATTAGGGGAACAGATCTGCTGGGCTGTCTCTGAACAAAGGAGAGACAAAAGCAATATGGCCAGGACAGCAAGTGCCTTTTATAGGAGCGGGGGTGGGGCTTGTAGGAGCTG